TTCTGTTGCCTTCCATCTTAACCACATAGTTAAACGCCCTCAGTCGCCACCGCAGAGACGGAAGCAGCAAGAAATCGCTGAGCTCAATGCTCGCCAAGCAGATGTCCTATAAGGGGAAACCTCAATACAATCTCAGTCAATGCTTACCATATAGCTTTATGTTCAATATACCCGCTAGAGTAACTATACAGGGTAAGGCAGGCAGTGCAACTGCCAAACACTTGAAAAATCCGTCATAAAATGTGAGTGGTGCAAAACCAACAACTGGTGGAAATTGCCAACATATTTGACTGTTTGCCTAATGAGCCCAGCCCAGACGGGGGTTGCAGCAAGTATTATTGTCGCTATCTCTGCTCGTGCATGGGGTCGGGTGGTTGCTGAACTTGTGGCATGCTGCCAAAATTTGTAGCACGCGTTTAATTGCGTGCAGCCTTTGCAGCTTTGATTACTCAATATGTTTGATTTTTGGGATTTATGGCGTGTGCTGCAAAATGTTTCGAGTGCCACTTGTGCAGCTGTCAATGGTCAGGGAAAAACAGTGCATGTGCTCACAAAACAGCCAAACAAAGATATGAAATATTATATATATATATTTATATATATATATGCATATATAGGTTTAGCATAAAAATAAAAGCCAATTCCAACAAAGAAACGCCATTAAAAAGTACGCAAAGTAAGGAAATAAACACCTGTAGACAGCGAGTAGTTGCTGACTGACTCAGTCAGTGGCCGTCCGTCTGGCTGGCTATTATTAGCTGTAAGCCAAAAACAATGTAAGCCACAGTCAACCAACACAACAACAAGTTACAGTGCAAAAGTAATCCCTGGAGTCCGAAAGCCACCAACGCAAAAGCTGTTGCTGTTGTTGGTGTTGTTGCTGTTGCTGTTGCTGTTGGTGCTGCCTTTTAGCCAATTTTGATATAACTGAAAGCGTCAATTATACGTGAAATTTATGATGCCGTGTGAAGAATAACACCAACTTGCAACATATTTGGACAGCGTGTTGCTGTTGCTGTCGCTGTCGCTGTTGCCCCGTTGGACAATTGTCGCTCGGGGATTTCGTAGATATGCTGTTGATAATGGGCATTGTGGTGCACTTTTTTCTCACTGCTGACTGCAAAAGATGACAAAGGTAGCAATGCGAATGCGACGGCGGCAGCGGCTGCTAGCGTTTCAAGTTGTTGCTGTTGGTACGCCCACTAGCAACAACAGCAACAACAGCAGCAGATGCGGCAGCAACGGCAACTGGCTAGGCCAATGGCTAGAGAAGACATTTTGGGCACACACCAAGTCAATTTGTTTTATCTATTGTCGAACAAGAGTCATGTCACAACGGCACAATGAGATTTAGTGTGTGTTGTTGTTGTTGTTGCCGTAGCTGTTGCTGTGGCTGTTGCTGTTGCTGTTGCTGTGTGTTGTAGTGCCTAGTTGCAGCAACAATGGTGCGGCAGAGCAAATCAGCGACATGATTCGATATTTAGATATGCGCACTAAGAAATATGAGCCGCTAACAACACGGCAACAGCAACAGCAACAGCAACAACAATAGCAATAACAACAAAAGATGCTGCCGCGTTGTTGTCTGCTGTCTGCATGTAATTGCCAAGTTTGTTGCTTAAGTCTTTTGTTTTGGACAACGACAACAACAACAACAGCAGCTACAGCTACAACAAGCAGGCATATCGATAGCCCAAAGAGTTGCATTTAAATTTGATTTATACACACTCGAGCTGCATATAATTGGGCAGAGTCGCGCCGCGCTGTCTGTGTGGTAAGTCTGCACTAATAATTGGCCCCCAAAAATGGGCAGCACGGATCATATTTATAGTGGGCAGCCAAAGCTTGGGCACATATATACTCGTACTACATCTTTTTACTGTTGTTCCAGGTGTTAATTGTACGCCTGCAGCAGTGCAAGTGAAACGTGTCCCCGAGACGTGCGCTGGCCACGATCTGGCCATAAAACGCTAATGAAACGCTTGGGCCAATTGCTGAGGCTGCCGTGCGGCATTTTAACTAGATCTAGAGCAGGCGCGGCAAGCGTTTATAAACATAATTAAGTTGAAATCATAAAAAAGCGCCTCCAGACATATACACGCATGCGTATAGGTAGCAGCAGCAGCAACAGCAGCAGCAGTAGTCGACGCAAGTTGGCGCAGCCGAACGCCAACGACTTCCACTTCGGAACGGGGCAACTCCGTTTAACAAGTCAGTCGCGCAGACCGCAGGCAATGTTCGGGCGACCAATCAGCGGCTGGCTAAAGAGCTAAAGAGCGTCGCGCAAAGAGAGAAACCGGTTGACATGCTAAGAGAGCGGGCCGAGCTGACAAAGCTCGGAGTGAACGTGCCCAGCGGCAATGCCAGACGCCGTCAGCAGTAGTTCCCAATCAGTCGCAACTTGACGCCTGAAGCGCACACAAGCAGCGAGCGGAAGTCTACGTCGCAACATAAGACAAGATCTCGATATCGAACTCGAATTCGAGTTCGAACAGTGGCCAGCTTTGGCGTACGCCGGTTCGTAAATATTAGTGCCGCAGCTGGTGGTGGTTGGGTTGCTGCTGCTGCTAGTTGCTCTCTTACCAAACGCTCTCGCGTGAGTTGCTCCGCCCCGTGTGGTGCCTGCTAGTGCTGCTGCTGCTGTTGCTACTGCTGCAGGCTTACCAAACGCCGCAGGACACGCTTAATCGCAACGTATTTAGTCGACCGTCGTGCTTCGAGCAGTAAAGAGCACTTTTGCAGCGCTGCAAACGGTAAACGTTAAATGCCAATTGGATTATGTGTGTGTGTGTGTGCGATTGTGTCCATGTGTGTGTACGTGTGTGAGCGCTTGTGTGAGATCAACAGTAACAACAACAACAATGATAATCAGTGAAAATTATGTGAAAGTGTTAAATGTGTTACAATTAAATTGAATTGCTTGCTGATTACAACAAATGACGGCAAAGCAGAAAGCCAACAAGTAATCATCATAATAACAATAGCAACAAATACAATAATAATAACAACAACAACAGCGGCACAATCGACAGCCGCTTAATTTATGTCTGTGTCTGTGTGTGCATGGATAATTTATATGAATTTATTTTTTTTCAACTGTCGATTTAACTTAACATAAATCAAAGCTTCGAAAATCTTCGGCTCAGCGTGTGATTCTCTGTGCGAAAAAAATATTATAACGGAAATAGCGCTCAATTACTCGTACAATACGCATACAAACTACATACACACGCTCACACACATACACACAATAAATTTGTTAATAAAAGCACTAAAGTAAAAGTGCAAACAATGCGAATGGGAATGCGAATGTGTTCCTTGCCCCCGTCAGAGTCCACAATAGCCGCAAACGCAACGGTTTCATTGATAACGCAGACTCAGCTACACACACACACTCACACATACGCACCCGCAAATGCAAACGAATTGGAATTGAAACACGAGTGAAAGAAAGCAAATAGCAGCACAATAAATAAATACCACTACACACAAACATAACTGCACATAGGATGTGTAAATAGCGCATAATGCATGATAACAACAACAATTTCAACATGCGAGTGATAATAAAGAGAGGCAGAATAACAGAGAGAGAGAGAGAGACACGAGAGTAGAACGAGGGCAATGCTTACATATGGATGAGCTTACAATAAGGAAGAGAGAGGCAGTCAGAGGGAGACACAGAAAGCGCCAGAGCTTTCATAACTGTAACTAAGTACTAAGCCAGGCGCTGCTTATATAATAAGCTGATAGCGAAGCATTCGCTGCTACAATCAGCTGAACTACTATAGTCGCATACGTACTTATACTTATGCTTATACTTTCCTTTAAATTCTATAGCTTAAAAGCTTCAATCTTGGTTCTCTATACTATTTCAGTTGTCCATTTCCATAAAATTGCATACTTTATGTTTCAGTTGTCATATTTGATTTCCCTCTCATTGCAACTTCAATTGCGCCAATTGCCAAGTGCACCCTTTGGTCCACTTCCGGTCGTGCCTGCTGCCTGGCTGGCTGCCGTAGCAGCTCTCACACAGCGGCCTCTATGCACAAATTCGACTCAAAGTCAACGACTTCCGTTCGCACAGGGCGAGAGGGCAAGGAGCGGCATATGGAAGCGTAGCAAATTACTTAATTAAATGGACAATTAACACCCGATCAACATCGTGTGCTTGCCGCAGGAACGGGGGGAAAATGGCACAGGCCAAGTCAAGAGCCAGCACAAACATAGGCGGGGGCAGCAACAGGGGGCAGCGTGAGTAATGTGGGCAAGAGTGAAAATATCTGTAAATTAATATGCGCACAAGATGCAAATTGCTTGTGGCCAAAGACACCGCAACAGTAGTAGCATCAACTTGCAACTTGCAACTTGCCACTGCAGCAAGAGCAGCAGCAGTGTTAAATTAACATAAATTGAATTGCATTTGCATTTGCTGCACGTTGAGCCGTTTTGCGGTTGTTGCGGTTGTGCAGGCAAAAGCAACTGTTGCTGCCAGCACTTGTTGCAGCAGCAGCAGCAACATCAACAAATGCGTGTCAATTAGCGTTGATGATGCGTGCTTAAAAGCAATGAGAAATGGATTTTACAGGCACTTGCCAGTGGCAGTGTTTCGATTCCATTTTGTTTGACAATTGCCTTAACAACAACAACAACTGCAGCAGCAACAACATTACTAATAGCAATATCAATAACAACAGCAGCAACAATAACAACGTCATATCAAGTGGAAGTGTAAAGTGTATAGAAAACGAATGAGAATTAAATAAAAAAATATATGCAAAGCACAACAGCAACAACAGCTGTAATAAGCAATAATAATAAAAGTTCGTGATAACAACATTAACAACAAAACGAAACAAAAAATGCCCTGACAAAGCGACAACAATACGAATATATTTACATATATATGTATATATATATATATATATATAGTTTATATATATACAACATATAGTTATCTGGGTAATGGGCTAATTAATGGCCAATCTGTGTGCGTTACTTGTGCCAAAAAGTTGTGCTTAAACAACAACAACAACATCAACAACAACAATAATAATAACAAACAACCAGCAGCAAGGAACTAAACTGTGCGCCAGCATCGTCTGCAGCAGCAGGCGGCAACACGTTCAAAAACGCGCACAGAATGTTCAAAATGTTTAGAAAACATTTTCGCCGAAAATCAACAACGACAACGACAACAACAACAACAACTGCGACAACAACAACAACGAGGGAATCAACAATGTCTGCAGCGAGGCAAAGGCAACGGCAACGGCTGCGTTCGCTGATCGACGATTGCCGATCATTAAAGTCTGCCTGCAACTTAATTGCTTTAATTTTAATATTGTTAGTCCATAAGGTAAGCAAAGCCCCTGCAACAACAACCCCTACAATTCGCCAGACTTCAAAAAGCGTTCACATGCTAAAAAAACGCAAAAACAAAAGAGCAAAACAACTTTAGTTGAAATATGCGGGTGCTGCTTTACTCAATGTTGATTTCTCGTTAGCCAAAATGAAGTTGATTCAACTTTTGGCTGAAATCGCGCCCAAGGCAATAAAAACATGTGTGTGTGTTTTGTGTGGGAACTGATCGATGAGGGTGCTGAAGAATTGTAGAATTGCAAATATGTCAAAAGCGACGAGAAGAGTTTCTTGCAAGAGGCGACAAGCGATTGCTATTAGCATGATTTAGTATCAGCTACAATCAGAATAGGTTCTATACAGATACCTAAGAACTATCTAAGATAAGCAGAGCATTGTTTATAGTGCAAGATTATATATTTTAATAGTTGTGGCTTCAACTTATGCAGTTATTTTTCTTATATTACTTCAAGTTCAATAACCCAAAAAAATAGTTTATTAAGCTTTTACAAAATTATAAGAATAGATTTCTTTAAAAACTATCTCGCTCTATACATGTCAGTCTCTACTCCATATAGAGATATTTTTCTTGACTCTACATCTTAATATATCTTCTATTTCGTGTTTATTTAACACTTCGCATTTAAAACTCTATAAAACTAATTAAGTTTTTTCTTAAATTAGCTGTACGGCTTTTACTACTGCTATAAAGCGATCAAAGTTGAACTGATTCGACTGAGCTGTTGCAACCTGCAGCCTGCTCCCTTTCAATATAAATTGGCCTGTAGTACAGTGAACACACGCGATATTAATCAGCGAAGAATAATGTGTGTAAGCCTGTCTTTACATTACCTTTTTGTTGGGGTATTTATGATACTCGGAACTATTTAAGCAGAAGTAACATGTATCTATCAAATCAGCGCTGGCTCTTCGAAATATTTTGGCCTTGCCGCTGGTCCAGCTGGTTCCCACAGCATCCGCAGCAGCAGCAACGGTAGTCGTTGCCTACGAAATTTTTATTTAGGGGCGTAGACATCATAAAGTGTTATACAAAGTGCCTAAACATGTATTGAGATGCCAGCGCAGATGCCTGCGAGGCAATTAAACAGAACGAACGGTCCGAAGATACATAAAATTAATCGTGTTGCCTGCGATCTAGAATATATATGTATATAGCTGTTTGTGTATACATAAAGACAAACAACAATTTGATTAATACGCGACCAGCCGCAGCCTCAGCCATTAGAATGCCCAGGCCTAATCCACAACACAGGGCTATCAAATTGATTATACACATTTATCTGAGTCTCCAACAGCAGCAGCAGCAGCAGCAGCAGCAACAGCAGCAGCAGCAGCAGTTCTTGAGTGCATTGATTTCGGTTAAGACTGGCGATAAAAGTCGTCAAATGAGAAATGGCCTTCTAAATGGGCATGGTTTAGCTCAACAATGTTATGCCTGCTCACTAACTGAAAAGGGTATATAGGATTTGCTGCTATGCTTGATTAGTTATTTATGCATAATTTATACTTTAAGTGTTTTATCTCGATATTTTCATTTTATTTTTAAGGCATGAATAAGACATGCCAATTTGTACTGTTATAGTGGGAGCAAATAGTGATTGATTGCGAGAGAGATCGATTGCAAAAGAAGAGAATATTTCCCATAAGTCCACATCACACCTCATTCGAGCTTAGAGCTGTAAAGCTACAATACTTCTGATCAATTAAATTTTTCAGCAAATCAGATCTTTCTCAATTAATATCTCTTTTAAGTTTTGACACTTTTTGAACGAGTATTACTCAGCCAATTCGTATTTACTTTACAATTTAGTTATTAATTAGCCAAAGCAAGGGTTAAATATTTTGTAGCTGGGATTAGTACTTCGCTTCCAGGAAACAAGAGTTCACTGCTGTGATTGCTGCTCAGTGAGTGTCACTGATCAGTGATCATGGGGCGTATTAACCCAGTTGTAGCCGTACAGGAATCAGCGTGTACCGCCGACTTAAAGCCTCCACATAAGGCCTGACATTTATTGATCATAAGCTGCGTATTAAACTGGCAGTCGGCGGCAACTGTTGAAGATATTCATAAAGATATAGATGTATATGTATATGTAGATATATATATATATACGTTTTTGCGCCTTCCTCTTGCCATTCGAAAGTCCCACAAAATGAGTTGGCGAATTGAGCATTCAGCTCCCACGATCGTTTTGTTTGTACAACTCGCTCTGTTGTTGCTTCTGTTGTTGTTGCTGTTTATCGCAGCGCTTAAGGCATTAACAAAACGTTCCGCACTGCAGTTGCTGGGCTCATTATGGCGAAAATGATTGTTACAGGCGCCAGTTGATGAAAATATAATTACGTGATCTTCAAAATGGAACATCGCATAAATTTGCACATTTAACTTCATTAAACCGATGCATTAAACTTAATATGTTTGTATATTTAGCACAAGGCTCAAGCCGCAAGACTAAAATACTTAATTGTCGAAGGTATTACAATTTGATCATGAAATATGCAACGCTTGGTGGGAGGTAGCTTTGTTTATAGAATTTTTTCTTGATTAATATGAATAGCTTGGCAGCTTATTTAAGTTTTCGTTTATATATAATTGATATAGTTACTTAGGTTACAAGTCTGATATAAATATAAAAATTCAAGAATTACACCTATATATTAACTCGCTTTATCCAAGGTCTGAGTCACTTGGCTAGTTTCTTGTTTTGTCATGAAACATTCTTTCAACACAAAAATAGGGCCAGGTAGTAGCTAAAGGTGAGCAATACTTTAAATCGATACAAACATCTTCAAAACTTCGTTGTTTCTTTTATAACAATTTATCTGTAGAATACTTTTTAGATATTGTCTAAATCTATATATCTATCTATCTATCTAGTTATACGTAATTTTTTTGATAAATTGTACAGACTGTATAATATTAGAGATAGAATAAGTTGGGGAAATAATTGAGTTTTTTTTTAAGTCGAAATATTCCCACTGGAACGCAGCAGGCTTCTCTTATTCTGACGTTTTCACTGATATACCTAGAGAAAGATATCAAGTCGCTCTACTATTTCATAACTTCAAACAGATTTTCTCATATTTATTTCTTATTTATGTTTTTTTTTACTATTTTTGGAATTTGTATTTATTTATCGAATCAAATCTGAGGCCTTTTTTGATATTTGGCGCCGCATTACAAATCGTTTGAGGCATTTCATGGGCATTATCTAATCGAATTGATTACGTGAAAAGTTTGTATCGAATATTAGCGCTTGATTGCGAGAATCAGGAATTGTGGCAGCTGCACTTGCCGTGTCTGTGGCATGAATGAAAATGCAGGCGCAAGAGAAAAAGAGAGAAATGTGATAAATAAATAAGTAAGCAGGTAAACCGGTTCACAGCACAGATCCGATCAAGAATCCAATCAACTTGCCGCTGGGGCACTGACCAAATGCTTGCAGCACAATGCGGCAAACAAAAGGCACAACTCAGATCCGACTGCTGAGAACTCAGCGAAGACTGTGGCAAGTGGCAAGCATTGACTGCATTGATTGATCTATGGGTTGATCAACAATGCGCGCTCGCCTGCTCCGACAACTTCAACTTGAATAACAACAACACAAGCAACAACAGCAACAATGACGACGACGACGACGACGACGACGACGGCAACGACGACAACCAGCTGAAGTGCAACTTAAATATTCTTCTTTTTCTTATACATGTGCCGCACAGGTGCGCAGCCCAAGAAGTGCGTCCGTCCAAGCGGGCCAATTGCCGTTAGCCCGCTGCAGAGCGGAGCCTGCGACAGAGCTCGAGCTAAATTGCAATTTATTTCTAATAAACTTATCAACGCTCCCAGCTACCAAGTGCAAGGCGCACGAAGCCCAACAATAAATTTCGTGAAATATGAAACCATAAAAGTTGCCAACTAAAAACTTTTCATTAGCATATTTTTTGCTTGGACTTTGTAATGAACCCTAAACTACAAACTTGATGGCCATGGCCAAGGAAGACGACAAGCAGCGAGAGCAAGAGATAGTCTTAAATTATGAGCAAACATTATGTGGAAATAGATAAACTTTATGTGCAACTTCTTGACCGATCTAATGTGTTATTAATTTTATGGCAAATGCGCCTATCGATAGGCTCTTGATTTGCAATGCTACCAGTTGGCCAGTTAGCATGTTGGTCAGTTAGCCAGCTAGCCAGTTAGCCAGTTAGCCAGTTAGCCAACTCCAGCTGTTATGGCCAACAAAAGGCATTCTAAATTGTATAAGCGGCTGGATATCTCGTTTGATTAAGTGAGCCACAACCACAAAGCGCTTTGTGTTTGAAAATATTTCTCATTATTTTCATGTTTCATTTGGCCGGCAGATTTATCAGACTTCATTCCCGTTTCCAATCTACGTCTGGCGCTCCTTTCATTTGCCTACGAATTCGTATACAACAAGAAAAACTATATTTATATGCTTATATATATATTTATGTATGTTTTCATCCATTTTGAATTTCTTTCTCGTGTTTTTTAATTAAAACCTCTACCGTAGCCCAATCAGAGCGCCCTAGGTGGCTTATTAGTTTTTACAACAAGCGAACGTAGCGACGGCGGTGTTGAGCATATTATTTGATATTGGGTACGGTTAGTGCTAGATGAGGTCTGCGTTGAAGGGGCGCTGGGAGAGCCGGACGGGAACTTATTTCGGTCTTGTACGCTTATTTAGCTTATGGCTTCGTTATGGGCCGTGATTGATTTGAACGATTCGAAATTTGTGTTTACATGTTTTTTCTTTGGTTTTTTATTTTCATTTCTGATTTTTTTTTGGCTGCGGCTTATTGCTGATGATGTACCTTTCGATTTTTACAGATATCCGCAGCTGGTAACTTCGAGCTGGAAATATTAGAAATCTCAAATACGAATAGCCATCTACTAAGCGGCTACTGCTGCGGTATGCCCACCGAGCTGCGAGCCACCAAGACAACGGGTAAGTTACGCCCAACACGAATACGGTTTACTAAAATAATCATGAAGTATACTCGATATGTTATATAACTTACATAACTGACACATATTTTAATCTGCCTCAAATTTGCTTCGTATTAAAGTGTTTTTTATCGTCTCACAAATTACTCTTTTTATGCTCAAGGTCAAATTTTTGCGAATGTTTTTTTTATTTCTGTGTAAAAAGTTTCTTTTTTATCTTTGAGCATTTCTTGAATATTTTTTAGTGTTCCTTAAAAGCTTGTCTTTTTATCTTAACTGTTAAAAGTTGATTTTCTGCTTTAGTCAAGTTGAAAGAAAAGTTTTGTAGATTATGAAAAATATTTTTCAATGACTTTTATTCGGGATTCTTATATACAATATAGCTACATTTGATTTATAGTCAAAATGCATTAAGAATATGTAGATGAAATTAAAAGTCTAATTTGTTTAGGCTCTATAGCTTAATCTCTTTTAACTTTTTTCGTTTCTAGAGCATTTCTGCAGAAAAAGCTGTCCAGGTTTCGCTTTCTTACTTAGTTATAGTTTAATGTTAAAAGAAATATCATTTAAAATAAATAAAATATCTTCGAGCATAGCAAAGTTTGTAATTGAGAATCAATGCAAAGAATTAAAATGATAAATGAAAAGTAAAAAATGAATTTTTAAAGACTTCAATTCATTTCTATATAGTAAAGTCCCTTTATAAATTAATATATTTAAGGTCTGTCTTGATTTCCTGATGCTAATCTACCCCATTTCGAATATCTTTTACAGGCTGCTCGCCCTGCACAACGGCATTTCGCTTGTGCTTAAAGGAGTATCAGACAACGGAACAGGGTGTCAGCATATCGACGGGTTGTTCGTTTGGCAACTCCACCACGAAGATACTTGGCGGCTCCAGCTTTGTGCTCAGTGATCCGGGCGTGGGTGCCATTGTGTTGCCCTTCACATTTCGTTGGACGGTAAGTTGTTGCTGCTTTGTCTTCTTCTTTTTTCTTGTTGCTGTGGCCAACGAAACGGAACCAAAACCCTCTTTGCTCCGACTGTTCCTTCGCTTCAAAATGAAAAAACGCACACTTTTGGCACGAGCTAGCGCATTGATAGGTCTGGCCGGGGCAACTGCGGCAGTGTTCCGCATGGAGCACACAGACGCGAGACGTCATCGCGGAATTTCTAGCGATAAGCCCGAACGCGCTGGCAACCGACGCGGCAGGCAGCAACTGCAGCAGTGATAAGCAGCGCTTGGTAGTCTATTGCTCTAACGATCTACGGAGAATGTATCGCAGTTTCCGGTCTCAGCTAAGAAACCACGAAAAAAGCCCAAGCAAACATGAAAAGAAAGATATATTATTGAGCCGCTTGCGTGGGCTGTCCACTTGGCTAGAAGCAGGGTTATTATTACAGTAGTCGAAAGCATAAATACTCAAGTCACGTTGTCTTAAAGCATATATGTATATATATATATGTATATATATATCTTTACGTAGCCTATACTTAAGTATCTGTGGCAAATAAATCACGGGCTGCTGCCACTAAAAAGCCGCTTATTTAGTTACTCTGGTAGCCGCACATATAAAAAGCAATTAAAAATTATGTTTTATGTTTTTCTTTTTAGTTTTTTGTTTGATATATATATGTGTATATTTTGTTATAAGCCTCTTTCGGTGCGCCCTCGTCTCGGATTCTGGGCCTGGCATTAATTAAGTGCGCATAATGCGGGCTTATGACTGCTAAAATGTGGCATATTTCGACTGTTCTGGTTCCATCGCGCTATAAAACATGAGCCAAGTCAACGCCACCAAATGTAACCTGGGCTGGGGCGCGGTTGCTAGTAGAATTTATGCACTGTGTAGCAAGTCGAAAGAGGTATATTGGGTTTGTAGGTATCAACAACAGACTAGCAATGTTAACGAGAGTCAAGCTACAGTCCTTGACTTTAGGTCCAGTAACTTCAAAGACAGTTTTCACTCTTAACTTGCCTAAAGGACAGGGTATTGCTAAACTGCTTATACTCAACTGTAATGCTCTTGTTTTAAGGCCAGTCTCGACTAGTCTTGTCTTATTCTTTTATGCGCCTTGTCTTAAAGTAAAAAAAATCGGTAATGTTTTGGTAATGTACAAACACAAAACTAACTTGGTTAACAATTACACGCCTTCCTCGACACTGCCAACTAATTCTGCTGATGGCCATAAGCCAAATGGTGACGGCAACAGCGGCAGCGACGTCAACGGCGACAGCGACGTCGGCATGCGCATGCGCCGTCGTTTACATTAAGCGACTGTGGGCTAGGGAGCTGCCGGCGCGCATGCGTCAGAGCCGGCTCTGTGGACTGGGGGTCTGTTCTGGAGTTCGGGCCTGAGTCCAAGTCGAGTCTGAATCTAAGTCTGACTCTGTGCCGGCGCAGTGTCGTGGTCGTGGCCTGAAGTGCGGACAACCTGTTTCGTGGGAACATTACCTTGTCGCGCTTGTCGCTTGGCCGATGGCGATACGTTACGCTTCGCTATGGTTTCGCTTTAATCTTGGCCTGGCTGCCTGCCTGCCTGCCTCACATGTGCATATATATATATATGTATATATATTTATATTTATATGTATATTTGTTTGTGTATTGGTTGTGGTGTGCCTTATGCGCGACTCAAACGAAACCTGGCAAATGTTTGCCCTGGCGTCGGCATTGGCAAATTCTGCATACAACGGCAATATTTGCTGACTGAAATCTCAAGAAGCCTTTCACAAAATCACGAAATCTTCAAAATACAACAACAACAACGAGAAAAACCAAAAAATATCAAGCTGCCGATATAAGCGAGTTGTTACTGTTGTTGTTGTTGCTGTTGTCGTCTCTCTGCTGTTGGATGCGTCGCAATTGTCCCACTTTTTATTGAATGACTTTTTTCGTTGCTTGTCTTATTGGTTGGCGGGGGTCTTCGACTGGGTTGATTGAGTGAATGGCACGTTAAAACTTATAAACATGACTTATGAAATACTTCAAGCACTTGTTCCAAGTGAAGCAGCAGCTACAACATCATCAGTAGTCCCCCTTCTTACACACAATACCTCGCCATAGCTTCAATGTAACTGTCAAATACTAACTCCAACAGGCCCATCGAACTCTTCGAAAACATGAACAAGAAATATACACATACTCTATGAATTTCACTTGACAATATTTCCAGCTGCTTGGTTGGAGTGCGCGTGCGCAACCATCAAAACTTCTCAAGTGGAATTTGCTGCTCTTGCTCCACTTTTAAATAGACGTATATACATACATATACACACATATATATACACATACGCTCTATGTGTACTGACATATGTGTGCCTATATGATTTTGTCCAACTGAATGGCATTCCCATAGCTGGACTGCCCCCACATGCAGCTATATTTGGAGCCATACAGCAGCAAGAAGCAGAAGTAAGAAACCAACTCGAAAGCTTTCGTTTACGTAAATGGTCCAATGTCATTGATAAAAAATAACGAAAAAAATCGTTAAATGAAAGTGGGCAGGTTATTTGTCTAGCTCAGCTGTTTGTTGGTCTTCTCGGCTGCCAAGTATGGTCAGCTTCTTGACAGTTTGTAAACATTTCAGTGGCCAATTGAAAGCTCAACGATGCTGTCTTCTTTGCTACTTGATTTTGGCCACAATTGATCAAAGCATTAAGTGAAAATGTTTATTTTTATGCCCATAGAATTATTAATACATCAAATTTCTATTTGTAAAATTGACTATTTTGGCAACTAGCAATGTGAAGCGACGTTGACACATCTGACTTTTAACACTGATTCAATAGATTGTGAAACTTTATAAGGAGAAAATATAGCAGTAAATTAAATCAAATTCATGATTACTTCAGGCTAGTATTCAGACTGTATATAAAGCTTAGTTATTCTTGCACTTAGAAGGGACATATTTAAGAAAGATAAAATTCCTTTTGTTTAAGAAAATTTGTCTGGGTTTAAAAATTTGTTTGCCTAGCTCTAAAGAGAGCTAGCTCCATTCAAAAATTAGCTGACTCATGAAAACTAAACTCTTCTATCAGCTTTTTTCTCTCAGCTAGCAGTTACATCTTAAGATCTTTCAAAATAGTTTTTAATTGCATTGCAGCTGTGTTTGCTGACTTTGTGTGTCACTCAGTTATCAGAGAACTCTATATAAGTATATATGATCTGTCCGATTAGTAACAGTTTAGCTCTTGTTGGCGCGTGTCTGTTGTCAGTTTTGTTGTGTGGTGAAATCCGAAACCAATTCAGCGCCATTTTCAATTGAAAAACTTCCGCTGGCCGTGCGTCTAGATTTTTTTTAGCATGCGCCCGCCCGGAAGAGCGAGCGAGAGTCGCAATGATGACAGCGGGAAATTGAATGGAAATTCGAGAGGCACACACAATTGACTGCTTGGGCATTTTATTTCTGCTTTTTGACAAACTGTGTCAAGTTGCAGCAGCGACAATAGTTGGACTGTTTTGTAATTAGCCAATGTCTGCTTTGGACTGATTTAGTGTCGCGCCGCCGGGCCAATTACATGGGAACAAGGCAACCAAGTCGCCGCCTTCGTGGCCTCCGCCGGCTGTCGCCTTCTTCGATCACTAAATGAGCATTTCCTGGCATCCAGCGGCGCAGACGACAACCTTCTCGTCGTCATCGTCGTCGTCGTAGTCCACGTCGTACTAGACGTTTAATTGCTTTTTGTGCCACGAGAAATCTTCTCAGTTCCACAGTGCCACAGCTGCCCAGTTGGCAGCTACAACAACCACACAGAATAGCAAGTCTTCAATTTTTATGCGCGCTTGCAACAAAAAGCAAAAAATTTGTTTTCTTTGCTCGATTGCACTGAATAGCTTGCACTGTAGATTAGAGATGAGCGCGTGACACGATCTTGAACTTGAATTACACTATGAGAGCTTGCTCTAAGAATGTGATATAAGATATAATTCAAGCTTATATATTTTTTTATATTATACATTTATTTAATTAAATATTTTTAATATACTATATGAATATTTTTTTGAATGCAAAATTTTTATATAAAAATTATAAAACTTTAAACAAGTTTATTTAAAATAAAAAAAAAAAATTTTTTTAATTTTTGAAAATTTTAAAAACTTATTTAAATTTTTAAATATTTTGAAACAATTTTCGTCCTCTAAAAATTGCACTTATGACCCAATTTTTTTAAATATTTAATTGTATTCTATTTCGTTTTTCATTCCATTTTCTTGCATATAAATATTTAACTTAATAATAATTTATTATTAATAATGTATCTATTAAATCAAACAATTCACTCGTCTCACGATACACAACTAGCTCTCATGCCACGCCGTGCACTCATTGGCCAAGTTTAGAAAGTTTTTGTTGCTGTTGCTGGCATTTGTTGTCCGTATTCTGCGTGAAATTAAAGTGTTTGTTTGTGCATTTGGCTTATTTTTCTGGTTTGCTCGTTTGTTTGTTCGCCTTTTTGGTCGCTGTCTTCATTTGCATCTGCAGATTAAACTGTCCATTAGCGTCAACACTGAGCCGAGACGAATGCTGCCCAGCCTCCAGGCGTCTCCCGCTCTTTCGAATTAATGTTGCAATTGCTAAACTCTTTTTCTTTCTCTCCTTTTTGTTGCGCATTGTTCAATTACAGAAGTCGTTTACGCTGATACTCCAGGCGTTGGACATGTACAACACATCCTATCCAGGTAAGTGCGGTGGCAATTGCAATTGCAGCTTGTTGTACGTGCCTCTTGCTGGTGCTGCTGTTGCTGCTGTTGTTGTTATTGCTGTTGTTGTTGGTCGTGTGTTGTGCACAGCATTTGGCTTAATTAGCACAGCACCAGCAGCAGCGACAGCAACAGCCCAATAACAATAAGAGACAGCCACAGCAACAGCAACAGCAACAGCCAGAGCCACAGTCAGCAACTGTTGCCAATTGCGCACAAAATGTTGTCAGCCGTGTCTAAAGTTTTGCCTTCTCAAATCCAATCTACCCGAATCCTGGACAACTATTGTGGAACGCCAACGTTGATGCCACCGTCGTCGTCCAACAATTGTCATTGGCATGCAAAAAACAACAACAACAACAACAACGACAACAACACACAATGCCAAAATGCAGATGCGGAAAGGTTAATTGAAGAAACATCATACTCGGGCGTGATACTGCCGTCGCCAGAGTGGAAAACTTTGGACCATATTGGCCGCAACGCGCGCATCACCTACCGCGTCCGGGTGCAATGCGCCGTTACCTACTACAACACGACCTGCACGACCTTCTGCCGTCCGCGCGACGATCAGTTTGGACACTATGCCTGTGGCTCGGAGGGTCAGAAGCTCTGCCTCAACGGCTGGCAGGGCGTCAACTGTGAGAAGGCCATTTGCAAGCCCGGCTGTGATCCCATACACGGCAAATGTGATCGACCCGGTGAATGCGAGTAAGTACATCAACATTGTAATTAGCTCTATAAGCTACCCCCACTCCCTCTCTCGCTCTCTTAACGATGTGATTATGACACTTTTTTTTGCAACTGCGTCGTGTGTCGAACAACTTTGGGGCGCCTTAATGGCCTGGCCATCTGCCCCTAGGGGCTATGTTGATGTTGATGTTGACCAGCCATAGACGTGGCCACAGACACAGTTATAATGGCTGCTTTTCTTTTTATAGCACAATTAACTGCAGAGAAATGGGGGTTCTTTGGGTGCTGTATTTTTTGTAACACTCCCAACGGATGTGTAAATAGTTGTCCAGCTCCATGTACCACATTTATAGTTGGGAAAGTTTCTTATGCATCGATTACAGCAGAGCGAATCCAACTGACAGACCTGAGCAACAGAGTTCAAAACAGCTTTAACTAACTATAACGGAAAGTACAGTATTGCACTTGAATTGAAATAGAAAAAAAGTTAGGATTGCTCTCTAAACTAAACAAAATTAGGAAGCTAGGATTGTAGATGTCTGGACAGATATACTTAAAATAAAAGTCATATAGAATATAAAGACAAAGTGAAGGCTATGCTTAAACTATTTTTAAAAGAGGCTTTCCAACATAATTCAAATTATCGATTATTCAAATTAGTTATCGAAATTTGTTTTATTTAATATTCAATTTTATTGCAAAACAAAACTCATGTTACATCCAATCATAATTGATCTAAATTGATCGAATTATCATTATTCAACGCTCTAAAGCTTAGGTAAACTTTAAAGAACTCATGTTATCGGCATTTTATCGATATATTTTCCATAACAAGCAGATATCAATATATAGCTTAACTGATTATCTCATGATCCTAAACCTTATTATTTGTGCACAAGAACAGTCAAATGATCGACTTATTGATATATGCCACTCGGCACTCAGATTGGCATAGCGGCAAGCCGACTGAGCTCAGTGGAGCCCTATAAGGCATTCGGGCGCTGCTGTGATCCATAATAAAATCTAGCCAGCTATCGCTATGAAGTTGTAAGCAGCTATAATCTGCAATCAAGAGCCATCGATGTTGCACTTTCCACAGCAGTTCTCAATGCATTGGTGCGGCGCTTTCAAGCACTGCCACAGTCTGTGGCCGCAACCTCTTAGCTCTTCTCGCTGCTAATCAAACACCCGCACGATGGCCAAAGCTGCATTCTGCCTCTGCCTGTGCCCTGTGTCTGATCGCCAAGTGAATGGTCATGCCCGCTGCCAGAACACAACATGAACGGCTGCCAGACTGGCAGGAGCAGAGCGCTTGAGCTTGCTGAGCAGTTGCATCCGCAGGCGGCAGCAGCACGAAAAAACGTTTGTGGTTTTGTGGAATTGTTGTTGTTGCCGTTGTTAATGTTCGAGCGTAACACAGAATACGTGAGCCAGCGGTCATGATTGCATTTCTCAGCGAACAGCCACAGTCGCTCGTCAGTCAACCCCTGTCCCGCTGCCCGCCAGCCCGCCCATCTGTCCGCCTCTTCTCTGCGGCACCCCGTCTGAGACCGCCTTGGCATTGGGTCCTGGCGCGCTGATTCTAAATAGCAATAATTAGCGTGGCCTAGAAACCATCAAAAACCAGTCAAATGTTGCAACAACTTGCAGCAGATTTCCAGCGCTCACTCCACAGATTTTTCGCACAGCCTCGCGAACAACCGACAACCGACAACCAAGAACCGCCAGCCGACAGCGAACAACAACAATTATAAGCAAGAAGAAAAATTACTTTGCTGTTTGCACGTTGCTGGCCCATTTGCGCTCGCCGCACTGCAATAGATTCGTTTACAGATAACAACAGGCTGCTGTTTTAATGAAATCATAAATTATAGACATCGAACAGCGCTCGGCTCGGACCCAGCATTCAGCTCATTGCCGTAGCCGGCTATCTCCGGCCACGTCATGCCCGGCTTGTAGAGTTAGCACCTCAACTAACGGCCGGCCGTTGGTGGTTCCAGTCGATAACTCGATGGCCAGGCAATTTTACTTCTGATCCCTGCACTTTGGCGTGTTGCGGCGATAAAATCGCAGCATCAACGGCAACACAAATTCATTTGGCTAGTGGAAATGGCCTTTTCCTAGCGTTTACTGTTGCTCCAGCCAAGGCTAAAGTTCAAAATTACCCAATTCAGTGATTAACAGACTTAACATGCGTTCCCATGCAAATTGACACATAACTTGAAATAATTGGCAACAATAGAAGAGTCGGCTTGAAATATGAAAGCTAAATCAGAACTTGGCACATCATAAAAAGGCAAATCTTCTATAGCAATTGCAGCAATGCTGCTGGAAATGTAAACGAATCTTTGGATTCAAGCTGGCAATTCTTTTGGCTCTGCTAGAAGAGCTGTTTAAGTGAATGATAATACTGTTTGGGATGACAACATATTAGTCTGATAAGAGAAGCTTGATGCCTGAAATAGGATGATCCAGATGATCTCACTTGAGAATTAACAACATCTCAATGTGATCTCGATTCTAGTTAGCCAACAGATGGTGCCATTTAATAATTAACACTTAGTGTAAAGGCCTCGAGTCTGGTCTTCTAGTTTGCCAAAGGATGATCCCATTTAATAATTTGCAAAAAGTCATACAGCAGCTGAGGCTGGTCTTCCAGCAATAAGTCTAGCAACAGTTGAGCCATATGTTTCCAGTTAAGTCCCTTAAATCAAGTCTCATATTCAATTATTTGCAGCAATTTTTCATTTATGCTCATTAGATTGATTTTTATGCAAAATTAAAGTCTCACATCATATGGAGTAGATCAGATCATCGCTTTTCGTAGCTAATCACAAACTTTGCTTTCCCACCATTATGAACAGATGTCGACCCGGCTGGCGTGGTCCATTGTGCAACGAGTGCATGGTCTATCCGGGCTGCAAGCATGGCTCCTGCAATGGCAGCGCCTGGAAATGCGTCTGCGATACGAATTGGGGTGGCATATTGTGCGATCAAGGTAAGTGACCCGACTCCTTGGCAATTACCAGGCAACACACCTGGTCCATTGGCTTGGCCAATGACATTGATAGCATCGACGCTTCGATGGGTTGCCGTGGCACATTTTAAAGGTATCGCTTGGTTTTCTTCGCACAGATTTAAATTACTGTGGCACCCATGAACCCTGCAAGCATGGCGGCACCTGCGAGAACACAGCACCGGATCAGTATCGCTGCACATGCGCCGAGGGGCTGTCGGGCGAGCAGTGCGAAATTGTGGAGCATCCATGCGCCACACAGCCCTGTCGCAATGGCGGCACTTGCACACTCAAGGTAAGCCCTCAATTTATAGATACGTATTTCTGCAGTGCCATAAAATAATTTAATATGCCGCCGGCTTTCGCCATGCTCTTGCACTTCTGCTCATCTACTGCAACAACTACTCGACTCTTTGCAGCTAACGAATGCAACCAGGCAGCCGCCAACATATCGCGCTATGCGTGGCATGAGCTCCTCCATGGGCAAGCCGATAAGTCGTCGCAATTCAATACGCAGCCTGGCGGGCCTCTTCCCGGAGGCGCAGAATGCCAGCAGCACTGGCAGCAGCAGCGGCAGCGGCAGCATCTCCAGCAGCAGCAGCAGCAGCAATGGCAATGGCTCACAGCAGCAGCAACAGTTGCCGCCTCTGGCCGCAGAGTTTACTTGCGGCTGTGTGGCCGGCTGGACGGGACCGACATGTGAAATAAGTGAGTTTTGATTTAATTTTTCGCATTTGCCAGCGGGCTGCAGCACGCGATTAGCCACAGCTACAGCTACAGCAACAGCTATAGCCAGAGCCAGAGCTCCACTCCACTCGATCATGCAATTGAGCACACACGCATTTGACTGTAGCGAAATGAAATGAAACGTAGCACGCACGCAGAGGCTCGCAGTTGTTGTTGTTGTTGTTGTTGCTATGGTGGTCTGGCAAATTTGATTTTGCATTCCAATTGGAGCACGACCGAAACACACATTCACCATTTCAACCATTTCGATTGGGCAGTGCAATAAGCCGTAAGCTAATTAAGTTGCCGCTCTAAAATCAAAAGACTTAGGCAACAAACTTGCTGGCAAACTATGCCGTGAGACAGTTAAAGCCAAACAAATAAATATGCTAAAATAGTGATACACAACTGTAAAGCGCTGACCCTACCACGACCAAGGGTCAGCCGAAATATTTAGGCTCCTCTTATCGGGTTTTATTTATCAGCAAACAAACAAATGAGTTGCGTGCTGCACTGGCTCGGGAGGCAGCGTCTTCGAAGGCGATTTCTGGCAAGCGATAAGCAATGCACGCAGCTACCAATCCACACGTCAGTTTTTGGTCAGCGGTTCAACGACTCGACTTGGCCACCTGCTTGACAAGGGCCTGGGCCGCATCAAGTTGAGCGGGCTGAACAACAAAATCAACACATTTGCACTTGAGCCTCGAATGCCACTTAACCAATCGTTGACTCTCTCTCTCTCTCCCTCTCTCCCCATCTTTCTTGCGCCGCTGCAGATATCGACGAGTGTGCTGGAGGTCCCTGCGAGCATGGTGGCACTTGTGTCGATCTAATCGGCGGCTTTCGCTGCGAATGTCCGCCCGAGTGGCGCGGCGATGTCTGTCAGATGGATGTGAATGAATGCGAGGCATCCTATGCAGCTGCCTTGCCGGCCAACACGCTGCTGACCACCACGGCTAGCGCCATTATTGGCAGCAATCTGAGTAGCTCGGCCGCCCTGCTGGCGGCATTGACCAGCGCCGTGGCTGCTTCGAACTCGGTGGCCACGCACGGACCCTGCATCAATGCGCGTGAATGCCTCAATCTGCCCGGCTCGTTCTCGTGCCTGTGCCTCGAGGGTTGGGGCGGTGCCACCTGTGCCGAGAATCTGGACGACTGCGTGGGACAGTGCAAGAATGGCGCCAGTTGCATTGATCTGGTCAATGACTACCGTTGCGCCTGCGCCGCCGGCTACACGGGACGCGACTGCGAAACGGACATCGACGAGTGCGCCAACTCGCCCTGTCGCAACGGTGGCGAGTGTGTGGACATGATTGGCAAATTCAATTGCATTTGCCCGCTGGGCTATTCGGGCACACTGTGCGAGGAGGCCAAGGATCACTGCACGCCCTCGCCATGCCTGCAAGGGCGCTGCCTGAACACGCCCGGCAGCTACTACTGTCACTGTCCGCCCGATCGTGCGGGCAAACACTGCGAGCAGCTGCGTCCGCTCTGCTCGCAGCCGCCGTGCAATGGTAAGCATTAACCAACTGAACGCACTACGTCTAAGACGCCATAAGCCTAATTCATTGCTGTCTGTCAAACGCAGAGGGCTGTTTTGCCAATGTCAGCGCTGTGACGACAACGACAACGACAACCAAGACGACGACGACAACGCCTGGCGGCCAGCCCTGCAGCGGGCATGGCAGCTGCGAGATGAGCGACGTGGGCACCTTCTGCAAATGCCATGTGGGCCACACCGGCACCTTCTGTGAGCACAGTAAGTAATTCGCACACACACAGCAGGCGAAACAGAAACAGCCAACTCATTAACTTTCTGCAGATCTCAACGAATGCTCGCCGAATCCTTGTCGAAACGGTGGAATTTGCCTTGACGGTGACGGCGACTTTACATGCGAGTGCATGTCGGGCTGGACAGGTGAGTCGCTGTGCAGTGCAGCCGCTGCTTAAGTGAACGTCAAAACCGGGGCGCAACAAGTGTTGCCAAATCGCTGTCGCGCATACCAAACGCTCAATACGCTATCCTTGAAGGAGCTCAATTGAATGGGCAAACTGAAAAGAGAACTCAAATTTAGTTAGAGTTAAAAAATTGAAAGATAAGCTAGTTCCTCCATACATATATATATATATATATATATATATATATATATACATATATACATATATATTACTCTGAAGTTCCTTTTTACTCTCAAAAGCAATTAGCTAAGCATTAGGCTGTGCATTGCCAGTCGCTTCACGTAGTCTACATGCTTTGAGCTAGTGTATGAAAACCTGATATAAGCTGACTGTCTGACTGGAGCATTATCAACGCTTTAGGAGCTTTAAATGAGCGCGAGACGAGAGTTGAGCACGTTAAGTGAGCTGCACACACGCTTACACACACACACACACACGCACACACACACACACACACACACACAGTCGAATTGTCGGTCGTATTTATTTGAACATTGAAAGTCGGCAGTCATTACAGCTTCAATTTGTGGCGAATGTAACAAACTGTGAGCGGCAATAATCTGCGCATTGGTCTCAGCTCTGCCCCATGTGGCAAAGCCGTGGGGCATAGCCGCGCTTTCATGTGTGTGCATGAGTGTGTGTGTGTGGGTCTTCCATCCACCCAGGCGTCTCACAGCGCCTTTTGCATGATTTATGTTTGTTTTCGATATGCGATTTGCATATTTCACGCGTTTCGCTTTTTTGTCACAGATACATAGTCTGTGATGCAGATACATCTGTAGCTACATCGATCTATGTCAGCACACTTTTACTTTTCAGTTTGAAAATTAGCTATGGCCTTGAATCAGCCACGGGTAGCGCGCACGTTTGATCTACATCCTGTCATAGTGTTCGTTTGCGTCAAGTTCGTTGCCTAAGTCATTTGTTTTGCTCTGCTCTCTCCCTCCCTTATGAACTCAAAGGCAAACGCTGCTCGGAACGCGCGACCGTTTGCTATGCAGGCCAGTGCCAAAATGGCGGCACCTGCATGCCCGGCGCTCCGGACAAGGCGCTGCAGCCGCACTGCCGCTGTGCGCCCGGCTGGACGGGCCTGTTCTGCGCAGAGGCCATCGACCAGTGCCGCGGCCAGCCCTGCCATAATGGCGGCACTTGCGAGTCAGGCGCTGGCTGGTTTCGCTGCGTGTGCGCCCAGGGCTTCTCGGGACCCGACTGCCGCATCAACGTGAACGAGTGCTCGCCGCAGCCTTGCCAGGGCGGCGCCACCTGCATCGATGGCATTGGCGGCTACACGTGCATCTGCCCGCCAGGTCGCCACGGACTGCGATGCGAGATATGTGAGTGTGCAGTAAGAGAATTCTAGTAACAATTTGACTAACTGTGTTCCTTCCCCATTTAGTGCTCTCGGATCCCAAGTCGGCGTGCTTAAATGCCAGCAATACCATCTCTCCATATGCGGCGCTTAATCAGAGCCAAAACTGGCTGGACGTTGCCTTGAGTGGACGCAGCGAGGAGGATGAGCACTGCAATGCCTGTGTCTGCGAGAACGGCACCTCACGCTGCACGAATCTCTGGTGCGGATTGCCCAACTGCTTCAAGCTGGATCCGCTGTCCAAGTCCTCCAATCTGTCCGGCGTCTGCAAGCAACATGAGGTGTGTGTGCCAGCCCTGGGCGAAACCTGTCTGTCGCCACCGTGCACCGTGCGCGGCGATTGTCGCGCCTTGGAGCCATCGCGACGCGTGGCACCGCCACGTCTGCCAGCCAAGGCCAGCTGCTGGCCCAACCAAGCGCTGGTCAACGAGAATTGCGCACGACTCACCATATTGCTGGACTTGGAGCGTGTGGGCAAAGGCGCCACCATAGAAGGTTTGTGCTCTCTAGTGCGCGTGCTGCTGGCGGCGCGGTTGATCAAGCAGCCGCTGACAACTCCATCTGGCCTCACGCAAGAGGAGGGCATGCTGATGGTGCTGTGTGATCTGAAGACTGGCACCAATGACACCATCGAGCTGACAGTGGTAAGTGTCGAGCGTGCAGCACTGCAGCAGCATTTATATAATCAATCTTATTCCTCTGCCCACAGTCATCCAGCAAGCTCAATGATCAACAGCTGCCCGTGGCGGTGTCCTTGCTGGGCGAGCTGCTCAGCTCGCGTCAACTGAACGGCATACAGCGACGCAACGAGCTGCAACTGCAGCATGCCAAGCTGGCAGCACTCACGTCCATACTGGAGGTCAAGCTGGAGACGGCACGCGTGGCTGATGGCAACAGCCACAGCCTGCTCATTGGCGTGCTCTGCGGCATCTTCATTGTGCTGGTGGGCTTCTCCATATTCATAACTTTGTATTGGAAGCAGCGTCTGGCCTATCGCAGCAGTTCGGGCATGAATCTGACGCCGCCTCTGGATGCACTGCGTCACGAGGAGGAGAAATCCAATAATTTGCAGAACGAGGAGAACTTGCGACGCTACACGAATCCTCTTAAGGGCAGCACCAGCTCGCTGCGCGCTGGCACCGGCATGGAGCTCAGTCTGAACCCGGCGCCCGAGCTGGCGGCCACGGCGGCTAGCAGCTCGGCGCTGCATCGATCGCAGCCGCTGTTTCCGCCCTGCGACTTCGAGCGAGAGCTGGACGTGAGCACGGGGCTGAAGCAGGCGCACAAGCGCAGCTCACAAATCTTGCTGCACAAGACGCAGAACTCGGATATGAAAAAGAACACGGTCGGCTCGCTGGAGAGTCCGCGCAAGGACTTTGGCAAGCGCTCGATCAACTGCAAATCACTGCCACCGCCGGCCAGCGAAGAAAGCGGCGATGTGCTAGCCACTGTGGTGGTTTAGCTCCTTAGCGATCTCAGCCACCAACCACATGGCCTCTCCAACCCGAGGCCCATTTCCGCTTAAAGTTCCTGGCATTTAGCATGGCATTTTCCGCTTGATGTGCAGCCAGCCATTGCCACAGCACGGGCGCGATTTCCAAGTGCATTAGTAGTATAATTAGCCTAAGGTTAATTAGTTAGTTAGTTAGTTGGTTAGCTAGTTAGTTAGTTAGTTAGCTTAGTTAAGCTAGTTAGTTTGGCTGCGTAGTTAGCATTTTGTGTTGCATTCTTTGTTAGTGTAATTTCAAATTCTTCTCTTCAACGCTAAGCAACATCCTACACAGTGTGATATTTAGTATAACCCAGACGCGCATATACTCGTATATAGTGTAAACATTCTCTGTTGGCCAAGCACAGCCTGTACATAGCCTAGCTCTAAGGGCCCCAGCGTGGCAGTCGAATCAAGCAGCATCTATGCATATATAGCTCTTAAGTTGTACATAATTGTAAAGTTGTAGTAGTTACCGTTATTGTATTTTGTCTAATGAGAAATATATATACCCTAAGCTGCAGCAACTTCAACTTAGACTTAACAACAAACAATCAACATCAAATTGTTAATACCTTTCGCATCCAGTGATGTGTGTGCATATGCTTAAGTAAAGTTTTAACAAATTCATTCGCATACTGTATGTATTATATATAGTAATATTTATTTATTATTCTAATGTAGCGCCAGTGCACTCTGTAAGCAGTTACTTTTGATCTAGCAGCAATAAAGCAATATCAACAATAATAATGATAAAAGCATAAAACAAGGCGCGTTCTCTATGAAGTTGGGCTGATTTGTTGTGGGTAAGTTGTGATGAGTAAAGTTTTGAGTAAAAAAGTTGAGCATAAAAGTTACTTTAAAAAATTATAAAACTATGAAAAATATTAAAAAATAAAATGGGAGTTTTTTATAATAAAATATTAAATATTTATTTGAGTATAATTGACAACTAACAAGCTATAAGACAAGAGGCTAATACTCTAGCCTGGTACTCGAACCCAGCTCCACATTGGCAGTTAAAAATATATTTTTCATAAATATTATCTCTATTAAATTTTATTTAATTTATTAGATATTTTTTAAATTATTGGATATATTTAATTTATTTTATATAAAGATACCGAAATCTTCTGTGAGTTTCAAGAGCTCGTTTGCTCTCTGTATCACTCAGGTCCTTTAACCATTATTTCTTCTTATATTTTATTGACAGTAGCATCATTATTTTCATCGCAACGAACTCAGGTCCAGACAGCTTTTCAATATCAATTTTATAGTTATTCTTTTCAACTTGGAGTTGAACTTCTATCGATGCCATTTCCTGTGCGTTGTGCCTGGCATAACTGAAATATTCGCAGCGACCGCATTTGAAATATGCGCTAATTGAATGTGAAAACGAAATGCGAGTTGAGGCTGGCAGCGTGGCCTCGCGTGTTGCGACCAGCCAAAAGGCTCGAAAGAAAGCGAAATGGCCAAAGAGCAATGCATTTTGCGTTGTTCGGTTTCTAATTAAAATACCAAAAACAAAGCCGAAAACCAAACTAAGCTCAATTGCTGAACGGACTCGAAAACGTGGGCCAGCTTCAACCTTCAGAGCTGCAGAGGCACTGCCAACTCTGCTGTGTATAACAGAGTATCTCTGTGTGTGTGTGAGTGTGTGTGCGTAAATTTCGAACAAAACGAAATGGCCGCGTTGTGCGTTGTTAATGAAGCAGAAAATGCCTGGAATTTTCGCTTGATTGTGGCTGTCGCGAAGTAAACGCAACGATCGACGCGGCGACGGCGGCGGCGGCCTTTCGACTCGACTGGCTGAGTGTTTTATTTAGTTATTGAACAGCTAAGCCCAGGCGGCCGCCCTTTTTCGCCGGAGCAGCGCAAAATTTAGCAGCATTTTTGGCGCTTTTGTTGCAAGTTGCGGCTGTTGTTGGCTTTTTAATTAACGCGCGCTACGTTTTGAACGTTTGAAGGGTCCCGAGTGCACATGATGGCCATATAACTCATTGGAATTATGGAAGAAGCGAATGGCAAGAGCCGCAAACGTCCACCCCAGCCAGCACCCAGGCCCAAACGAGGCGAGGCAAGGCGAGGCATGGCAAGGCGCAGAAAAAAAACTTGTCTTGTGGACAAGAGAACAGAACGTACATAAACTTTATCCGTCTATAATCTAAATATGTTTCGCTATAGCGCGCTGTGCGCTGCTTTTCGTTGTTGTCGTGGCTGTTGCAACAATTTGCTGCAAATTGAAAGCCAATTACGTTGTTTGCAGCATGCCACGGCAATGGCAAGGCAACCAGGCAAAAATTGCAGCCACAGACCGAGACTGAGACTGAGACTGAGGCAGTGGCAGAGACTGAGACTGAGACTGAGACTGAGAGGCTGCTGCCTTGGCCGCTTGCTCTTAGCAGACGACATAAATATCAAATACAGGTCCATAAATTTGAAACCAATTAGCCAACTTAAATTGATAATAGTTGCAACAAGCTGCCGCTGCCACGGAGGCTGTTGGCGATCGGCATTGCTGAATTGCTGTCCTAGCATTTGCCTACAAGCTGCAACAGGAAGCCAAAATCTCGTGTAGCCTCGGCCGGATTGGCCGCTAATGGCAGTGCCATTTGTTGACATACGTCGCTCGTGTTGACTTGCCAATTTTCGTCGTCGTCGTCGTCGTCGTCGTCGACGTTGCTGTTGCTGGGGCAATTGTTGTCCATATTGGTATAGAGCAACAGCGTCATATGTCTTGTTGTCTAGTGTGTCTGCTCCGTCCGCTCTGTCTACTCTGTCCGTGCCCTGCGCTCATGTCGTGCCTGTCGTGTCGTTCTAATCACAATTGTAGCTGCCTCCTTTGGCTGCCGGCCATGCGTTAACCATGCGACTTTTTATGGTGCTTTTATGCAAAACAACTTAATTTCGAGCCTCGCAACGTTAGCAACAATGCAGCGTGTAAAATATGCACTGCAAGCCAGATACGGAGTGGGATCGGACGGGCGCTACGAAAGACTTAGGCAACAAACTTGCCAATGTTTAAATGTGCGCCATTTGCCGTGTTGCGAGTAGCTGTTATAGAAAATTATCTTAAACTGATTTGATATATATTCAAATAGGCGCTGTGCGACACATGTTGATGTTGTTGCATGCAACAATTGCAGCATTTGTTGCACTCAGTCAGCTAGCCACCTAGCGCCAGACACGCAGCCGGTAGCAGTGCAATGCGGTGCAATGCATTGGATAGCAGCTCTCCAGCGAAACGGATAACATCGCTTACAGTAAACGTTTACTTGTATTTTAATTAAAATATTTTGCCATTTCCCTCGATCTGTTAGCGGTCGACCGGACCAGAGCCGGATTGAGATCGAGCCATGTCCGTGTTGTTGGACAGGTGGCATTTACAGAAAGAGTATTTGAAGCTAATTTGGGTGGGAATTGATTGGCACACATAGATCCAGTGCCTGGGAAGAGACAGCAGAGAAACTAATAACTAATAACATAAACTGTCTCAGCATCGGCATCTCCTCATCTGAAACTAACTGCGAAATTTCCCCAGCAATTAATCGACATGCGCTGCATGTATGGCCCATCGGTCAGAGGCAACGCTTTATAAATGTCAGACGCGGGACATTAATGTAGCGCATTTATCTAATTAGACAAGCGTTTTAAGTCCAAGCGTTCGCTGAGCGTCTCACGCCAAATAAATTAATCAGCTAATTGATGGGCATAAATTAAGCATATGCAAATGAGCCACTGAGCCAATGAGCCAATGGGCCAAATGGCGCGATCTGCGGCGCGCACGAGGCGAGCCACGACTGGCTTATTGATGGCCAAACTCAATTAAATTGGGCAAATGGTTAGCGTTCGGTATTTGTCAGGCCATGGACCACCCACTGGCATGGTCAAGTTGGCTAACTCTTTCAGCTGCCGCAACTGTACAACTCAATTAATAACAATTTCTCAGAACAATAATGCAAACTGCGCGTCCGCTTGGCACCCAAAAATTAGATTATCTTTTGGGCAACTGCAGCTCATTCCTGGCTCTCGCTATCGCTCGCTGTCATCGTCGCTGCGGTGTTGCGGAATTAGTTGCTCGGCGCAGGTAAAAGCACAGGCCCAGGCACTGGCAGTGGCACAGGCTCCGGCTCTGACTCTGGCTGTGGCACAGGCTTTGGCCTGAACTTTGGGCGCGCGAGGTCGTGGCAGTCGCATGTTGCTTCAGTTGCTTTAATTGAAAACCGTACAAAATGGAAAATGGACTTTCATGAAGGCAGCCCAGTCGGGTTACTGTGGAGCAGCTCACTAAATTAGCCAACCGACTTTTTCTAATTTTGCGGCTGAGAGCGCGTCGAGTGCATTTCAGGGCCCGTGACGCTGGCATTTGGCAATTTATGGCAGGCCAAAGCGGTGTCGAAAATAGCGCCAACAACCAGCGAAGCCATGACGATAAGCACAAGGATGATGATGATGATGATGACGACGACGAGCCTGATGCTGATAGCTTTTTGCAAGTTACTTTCTAATAATGCAGCGAAGACAACAGCAGCAGCAACAACAACAAAGGAGATGTGCTGATGTGAATGTGGAAGTGGATGTGGATGCATTGCACACGAGAGTCATAAGCGCAACCAAGGCAATTAAGTTCGAGCGACAAGTTGCGCTGCTGGAAGCCAGGATAGCGGCGGGTCAGGGCAGGTGGCGGCGATGGCGGTGGCGGTGGCGGTGCAGCTGCAGCAACATGTTTATGGCTCGAAACGGATTGCACGTAATGGGATTTACGCTGAGCGACAACGATAGCCTGCAACTGATTCAGCTATGGCCGCAGTCTCAGTTACAGCGCCTGCGCCTGCGCCTCAATAAAGCCGATCGCATTACCAATTAGGCGTGCACACTTGGCTAAACAGCCGCCATGTTCGCCACTTGGCGGTTTGGCTGCTTGGCAAGTGGAAATTGAATTAGTTGTCGCTGCATATGCGTGACTCGGCCAGCCCTGGTCTGGTCTGCACTCGAGTTAGACGCAGATTGAGACTGGGTGTCGCTATACACAGCCATGTGTGTGTCGGTTCGTGTTCATGTGTGTGTGAGAGAGTGAGTGTGAGTGCAAACATTTTTTACACTTTGCCACATTCCTCTGCCGCGCGCATAAATCAAGCCACTGCTCGCCTGTCAATCCGCAACGGCAGCATTGATAGCGTCGCCGTCGTCATGGCCAACGTAGCTCTTGGCAAGTGCTCGGACCTATACAGCTGGCCACATGTGGCTGTTGCGGACCAGTGTGCCAGTTTCCCAGTGCGAATTATGGCGCAATGGCTCTAAATCCAGTTTTGCCTTGCAGAAGTCCACACTATGTGAAGATGGTCCAGACGGTTGTTCAAAAGCAAATTTATATATAGCATAGGCAATTGGTCTAGACTCTTGACTCTAGATCATGAAGTATTGCTGTGCTGTTTTGGGTCACCAAAAGTTGCAACAAATTTCACTCAAGCTGAACGCAATTAAGAACAACTTACAATTAATAATACTAATTCGAAATGTTCAATGTCAACTTAAGTTTCGAATGCGCATCTTAACATCTTGCACATTCTTTTCAACTGTTTCCGGCTGCGAAGTATAGATCGATATATTAACTGATTTGTTTTGACAGCTTTGAACTTGTTTTTGGATAGGTACGAGACGAGCGGAAGGAATATTTTCATTACCTTAATTAATTTGACCTTTAGGTAAATCAATTACTGAGTGAGTTAAATAAAATGTAATAGAAATTAGATTGAAATCTTTATATATTCATTAAACTATAAAATATTAGATTTTAACACTTATCAACTCACAAAACACTTTTTGAAAATATAATTTAAGCCCGCCAATAATAGTAGACACTCAATAGCTGACTGTTATGAAACTTAAAATAAGTGACGCAGCAATGAAAGTTTTTTTCGAATACAAAGCAACGGGCACACTGGCAAAACAGCTGTTTTAATATTTTTGCCTAATAATTAATAACAATAAAATGTTTAAGCGAATCGAATGAATTCCTTAAAAACTTTATTTAGCAATTTTTCAAGTAAATTTGTAAAAAGTTAAAGGCACTGATTGTGTCACACCTGTAAAGTCTCTACTCAATACTTAAGAAGTATTTAGATAAAATGTGGAACTTCAAAGATTCTGCAGCACATTTATATAGGCAATATGAGCTTATCACCTGCATCAATATGTTCGAACCGTGGGAGAAGAAGCTAATTAGTGAGTAATGCCATGATAATGATTTTTCAAAACAATAACGTTGTCAATTTATACGCAGATGGAATTGTCTTGCTAATGTTTGTGCTCTTGATCTTCTCGAGCTGCGTCTATTTGCCCAGCTACATGGACTCGCTGCTTGAGGTGATAAGACCAGCAGCTGGATCCACTAAGGTGGAAGATCTAACATATGTGCCACAGAGAATTAGCAGCATGTAAGACATGCAATGCGATACACTGCTAATAACCCATACAGGAGAAATTCATATATATATATATTATGCACATAGAACTTGCCCAATCGGAAGACAGATAGCAATGAAAGAAAACATTTTGTGATTTACTTTAACTTGATTAAAATCTTTAAATATTTGAGTGTGCCAATGAATATTCGATTTATCCATTTTAACACTTCTTTGCGGTACTCCAGGGCCATAAATATGGCCTCTACCACGCGCAGCGCTGAGAGATTGAAGAAGAGACTAATTAAACCACCAAAAGAGACTGAAAAAGGGAAAAGTTAATGAACAATTCGGCTGCTGCTTAATTCTGTCTCTTACTTAACAAGTCCAGAAAGGTTTTTGAAACACGTCTTACATAGCGCTGAGTGGGCAGCTCCACCAATGCCACATGAATGTCGGAGAAATCTTTCTCAGAATCCTGCTTGCTGCAAATAATAAATAAGACTATTCATATTATACTCTTAAAACTAGTGATAGTCACATACTCATCGGCTGAATTGTAGATAATATTGTACTCTGGCTCTTCGCAGGAGCTCATGCAGTCACAGGACTTACGCTCAGCGAACAGCCTGTCATGGATGTCCGTCAAACAGATTAAACCCTGAACGTCGCACATGGGCAACGAGTTCTTGCTGGGCACAGCCATGAAATGGCTGGTGCAGTTGCAGTAGAGAAGTTGCAAGGTCACGGTGCACTCCACAATGCAGCCGGAGAAGCTGTAGAACTCATAAATCCCAATGCGATGCTCATCGTACTCGTGACTGTAACGGCATCGTCGTTGCTCATGGTTCAGCTCTTCGACACTCTCGTGATTGTATACCTCGATGACGTTCAATATGAGCTCCTTGTTGTTGCCCAGCAGGACTGTTTCGCGTATCATGCCCTCGGAGAAAAGGAAGGGCACATCGATGGGCGGATGAACATTCACCTGAATGTCTGCCGTGGCCAGAAACTTGAGGTTTCCTGCTCCAGTCATGCGATTGTTCTTGAATTGCACCTGGGCTACTTTGCGTGCCTGGACCGAGTTGAAGGTGTAACAGACGCCGTACTCCGTGAGTATGGGCAAGAACTGATCGCAGCAATCAAAGATCTGGTTAAGGTACTGGCACTCCACAATAAGTTCATGGCACTTGCTGCGAAACTGAGAGAAAAGTCGTTAAATAGAGGGAAAGTGAGAGAGCGTGTAGGTCTATTATCCCACCACATCAAGCAGCTGTGTAAAGTTGTCTGGACATTGCACCCGTTGACAGATCTCGCAACTGGTGCAGCTGCCTCTGAAGAATGCGATTTCGCCGACAAAGTCATCGATGTGGAAATCGTGCTCAATGCCAAACAGCGCATCGCTCGTGTCCCAAATCTTTTCCGAGTTGTACAGCTCACAAACGGTTATGGCCGGAAACGAAGTATTCCAATTGAGGCTGCAAGTCGGAAGAGGTTAAATTTTCATATAGTTCATTGATGTTTCAACTCACTAAATGGTGTCCAAGTTAAACGATACAGATGTGGCAAAGTAGCTTTCCATCAAGGACTTGGTCACGGGCACTATAAACGTCAGCGACACGTAAAGCGTACCCAAATACATTGACCTATTTGGAAAATAGGTTATATTCCCATTATATAACAGGCTATGTGTATATATAGTATATATATATATATATATGAATTGTAATTTACCCTTTCAGTGTCACTGACAAAAAACTAATCCAGTGCATTGTCTGCGAAACGCTCGCTACCAAAGTCAAAACTGTTGTGAGCCACAGGCCAAGTTATTTGCTTTCTTTTTTTTTATTTGACCACACTGCGCCACACAAAGGAAATATGTCGTTCCGATTAGATCTACGCATTGTTCCTAATTCAAATCAATTTACCCCTTTGCCTGAATACTATCTTTTGAATACCTGAGTAGAGGGTATTTTACTTTTGTCACGAAACGTGTAAAGCATGGAAGCCGACTTCTCTGACACTATAGAGTATATTAGAACATAATATGATATGTTATATATATATTCGTATATTAAAAGTAGTGATGTAGCCAGACTTCACTGTTGCTTCAGTGTGCAAAGGAGTCGGCTTAGGCTGTTAGATATTGGCATTGAACTTGATGGAACTTTTTGTGTTTCTTTCAATATCTTAAATCCATATATTTATGTAAATCAGCTAATTAATTGGGTTCATATCAAATACTTCAATTTAGCTTATGTAGCCTTTCAATAGTTTAAAGAAATAGTTTTTGACTTAAAGAAAAAACGTTTTCTATGAAATCTAATTCGTATAGATTACGAGAGTTGCGTAAGATATCACTTATATTTGAAATAGTGCAGCTTGACCTAACCTGTCTAAGCTAGACCTTCTAATTGCTAAGAAACAGTCGCCTATAGCTACCTCTTTCAATTTGTGTTGCAATTGAATGCTAGAAAATAAATATTATTTCCCCAGGGCTTCCCCCACGATAAATGACAACTAACGTAATACTACTATCATATAAAGTTCTTTGTATTGCATTAAAATTATTGCAGCTATAACTAGGCGCAGTATTTAGTCGCTAAGACTATTTAGTCGCTAATCAACACATACCCATAAGCAATCACTTGGATGATTCAGTGCCATAAAATCCAATCTGAATCAGAACGATATTTCACATAGAAATGCCCCACGCTGGCAGTTATCAAAGAGAGCAACAGACAGGTTAGTTGAGGCCCCAATTCCCGATACACACAATCGATATGAATCATGCAAGCTTATGATAATAGCACAATGAATTGTCTGCAGTGGGATAGAGATTGAATAATAAAGTCGGTGATGTACCTTTTCGATATGAAATGCAAACAAATTGATTAACACTGCGGTTAGTCGACCACACTCAACTTCACAATTCTAGATTTGATGATTTGCTGATCTAAATTACTGAAAAAGAGCAACAAAGCAAAATTCGTAATGAGAGAATCTGAATAAAATTTCAATTTCATTGACTAAAGCTGCAAATCGATTTTCCAACTGATTAATAAATCACATTAATAATAAGCTAGCAGTATTTTCGCTAGAATTTTACGGTGATTCAAAATTCTTATAACTCTATAGATGATCCAGCAATACGAATTATGGCGAATTCAGCTTTGCAATAACAAGGTGTTAAGCATGATGCCTGGATCGTATTTATATAGATAAGCTATTTTACACAGATATTTACATATATTATATATAAATCAAAACTATTTGTTTCGTCTAACAAACGGGGCTGTAATTATACTCGTTTACAAAACGAAAAGAGTATATAGGTTTCTTGCCTTGGTCACTTTATGCTATTCTATCTTTCAATCGGGCACCAAACAAATAATTAAAAAAAATCTATAATTTTCAAATTCAAATTTCCTTCATTCTTAATGCTTTTATTTTTTATATTTTCAGATATCTTCTCCTATCAAAAGTTTATTTTACAAATGTATCCCAAAGTCGCGATCTTAAAGCTTAACATTTGATACACTTTCAGATTTTAAGCTGCTAGAGTCAAGAAATGCCAAGCTTTTGGCTAGTTTAAGAACTGTAAATCACAATGCAATCGTAGATATTATGCAAATATTTGTGTTATTCCAGTGACGTGTCGTATAAGCACATGAGTTATATGAGTCACGCACTCTCCATTCTGCTTATTAGAGAACACATCTGATCCTTTAGAGTCTCTTTTGAGCTCGATAAATTGTTGTACCATTATTCGAAATAATATCCATTAAATATTTCATTTTCATTCTGCATTATATTTATGTATACATTTTAAAAGACTAACAACTACGACTAATAATCTCCAAGCGTGACTATTGCAATGGCATTGAGAGCTAATCTAACGAATAAATAATAATGAGTATAAGAGACCGGAGAAGCAAGACGTGTCCTTAATATACGTTCTGTGTGATCCAGGGTAACATGTCCAGGACAGAGGCGAATACGCCTGGCTGATTCTCTCGCTTGCCACACCGCGAACCGCCATAAGAGACAATGCCGTACTGGACGTAGCGCACCGTGTTCTTAAAAGCATGGCGGAAGAAGAGTGGGCCGCCGGAGTCGCCACGGCAGGTGTGCAAAATGCCGTCTCCGACAGCACAGATGTGATTCTCGCTGATCGGAGCACCTGGATAGAAATTGCGGCATACATTCAAATCCTCCCGCCTGATCACAGCCTTCAGCAGCACTGAGGATGGCTTGTTGTCTTGGGTGCGACCCCAGCCCGAGATGAAGAAGCTCTGATCGTATGATATATCCTTGGACTGACGATCAATGGGCAGGCAGACGGGCTTGATGTGGGACTTGAACTGAACGGCTCGATCAAGTTTAATCAGAGCTATGTCATTGTTGATGTTGTTAACCATATAGTTGGGATGTACGCGTATGTCCTCGATGCCATACTCCTCATAGGGTGGCAAGCACTCCCTGCGCCGCCCGCCCAGAAATTGGCAGTCCATTTCGGTATCCAAATTGTGTTCGCCCATGCGCACTTGAATACTGTGGAGAAAGGATAAACAATTTGCTTAACATGCTTTGACGGCACAGTGTAAGCTAAGAGACTTACGGCAAATTATCTTCCTGCGCACAGTGCGCGGCTGTCAGGACAAAACGATCGGAGATCAAGCTGCCTCCACAAAGGAATGGTCGTCCGAAGGTCTCATATTTAAGCAGCACAATCCAAGGAAACTCGCCGATTTTTGTAATATCTCCGCCGCTTAGCTTCGTATTGGCTTTCTTGCCGCAATCCTTGACCGAGTCGAGCAGGGCCATGCCACGTGCATCAATGCGTCTCAGATTTGCATTCGTCTGGCGCGTGCTCAACGGAGCTTTAGTATTAGTCAATGAATCCCGGCTGGGATTATTAGCACTCTGTGCTATGATCTCAGGAGAATTGCGGCAGCATAAATGAATTCCCTGTAAAGCAATTAAGTTAATTCGTACAGGTCAAGTTGCTTTAACTTGTAATAGGTAATTACCGATTGGTTTTCAACACTACAAAACATTTGCCTAATCTGATTCTGTATCGAACGGGGCACATTGCGTCCATATCTGTTCTGCACATCCTTCACGAATTGACATTGCTGGTATGGGATGCAGTTGCCAGACTCGCCATCGGGGGTGTAACATCTGTTGTTTGTTGTCTCTGAAATGAAAACAAACGTTTAAGCCAGTGATGGGATAAGCCAACCAACCGACCGACTCATAACTCGTTTAACTGGTTACACTTAAACAAAGATCTTATTTTGTTCAGCTTTGTTCTCGCATATGAGTCAGTTAGTCGAGCACCTATTCAGGCTACTTACGACTCAAGACCAACGCTGGCATGGCCAACAATATTAGGCCCAAGCTGCTTATAAATAGTTGCATCCTGCCAAATTATCCAAGAAGATATCCGTAAATAATGTAAATCTATGCGATCGGTTGTTGATCTTTAGCTCGCGTCGCTCGCTAAACTGTGAATGAGCCGCGTCTCGACGTGTGCCGCGCTTTTGTACCTGGAGTTCGCGTGCTGTGTTAGCTGCTTATTAAAATGCATGAATGATAATTTACCCACCTTCGAGATCATGTTGTTCTCAACTGGACAACAGGTTTGACTCGCTCGCGTCAGTGCAGCACGTGCGTAGAACGCGAACTATTCATAGATTCGATACGATATTACCCAGAATGTCAATTGGTCAATGTGGGCTATGTATGCATAATTTACTCTGTCGACTGGCGAGTGGGCGAATGAGTGAAGCGATTAAATTCCAGGAAACCCCACAGGGAGCGAGCAGTTCCTCTCTCTCATCCGCTCCCTCTCGCTCTCTCTCTCTTTCATAACACGTATCTGAATTTCAGGTACGTTCTGTAAAATGAGTTTTTTAACTAAAGGCAGGTGAGTACGTATAGGTAACACGCTTTTTTATTTTGCTAAAGTGAAATATTTGTAATTGCCTATATAACTTACCCAGATGTTTATCTTGACCCATGTAGGGGAAAGTCTGTCTAATTGCTTTGTTTTGGGCTGGTTCCCCAAACTTCTTTTCGTTGCTTTGTGGAAATTCCACAAATGGGAAGTCCGACAAAGTGGACAATATTTTTTGTACTTTTTCGCTGTCAAGTGATGAAGTGGGCGACACTCGTCGCTTGGCACAAATTAGCTTCTTGAAATCCCCCAAAGTTTGATCAACGAGATATTCATATGTGTACAAACATATTAAAATGTAAATTTCTGAGTGAGATACTGCAACCAGATAGATATATATATATATACTGGCATATATATATATATATATATATATATATATATATATATATATATATATATACATAAAAGTGCGCATGTTTGAATTTTAATGGCTGTCACAAATCTCTTCAAATCAAAATTATTCAGACAGCATTTTTTCTAACCGACAGCATTTTTTGTACCGATCCTTAGACTAGAACAAAAGCGGGGTTCGAGAGTTTCCAGCTGGGTCACAGCTGTAAAATCCAATAACTAATAATTAATATTATACAGATGAGTAAAGCACTTTGTTTATTATTTAATAACTACTAACAAATGCATTGTTAATTACTGTATATAATCTGATAATTGTATTTTTATTACATAATTATGAATAATTACTGAGACTCTAACAAAATCAAGGCGTGCTTACATTTATAAACCTGAACTTTTGACAACTTGGACAAAACCCTTAAAATTATGCTATCTTAGATTGTTATTCAGATTAGACTCAGATAAGACTTCATCTTTGTTGCAATAAGCTTGACATCGAACCCGAATCGTTTGCTCGAAACATTGCTGACTTTCCTCAGTTATTTTATATTAGCTTTCAGTAGCATTTTGCATAAATAAAGAACAAATTCAGATTTAATTAAATGTTAATCATGTAATGTTATAAATTCAAACGTTATTTTGTATTTAAAATTTGTGCCAGTGTTGGAAACGTATAAATATCAAGCGATCTATCAAAGACACAAGCCTGACTCTGTGAAAGACGATTTTAGTAGAGACACAAACCCAAACAGTGAGGTCTCAAGCAAATGTTTTTGTTTGAGTTCTAGGGGAAAAACTACCCCGTAGTTTTTAAGGGATCTTGTGTATATAGATATTGTTTAATAAAATTATTTACTTAAGAAAAAATTATAAAAATATACTCAAATATAATTTATAAATATATACTTAATAAGACTTCACAGTATAAGTAAAATTAACTATGATAAGCTTGTATACTATTTAAAGTAAACTATAACTCTTAGAGCTAAAACGTCTAGGCATATATTTCAAGAAGAACAATAATAATATGAACTATTGACCTATTTATAAAAATAAAATATTCAAAGAGTTTATTCGTCTATATAAAATTTGGTATTCGCAGTCTCAACTTTAAATATTCTCCTTTCAGTATATTAACCAATGCCCATTAATTTATATACGTTTCTAATCTGCACACAACTCAGCCGGCTGATCGAGTCCGCTTGGCGAGACAAACAAAAAATGGACTCATGTATTATTGGCTGGCTGTAAAGCTGTAAAACCGGTAATCTGTCGTGGCTCTACAAAGAAATCGTTCTCGGCAAATACTTGCTCACCGATTCAGCTGAGAGAGCAAGAAAAACACACAGAGAGTGTGAGTGTGAGTGCGAGAGCGACTAAGACATACCTTAAGTTCGCAATGCAATCCACAGTTTTCGTATCGTGCCCTGCCTACCTGCACACTGCACCGTCCAGCTGGTGGGCAGCAACAGGTACTCTCTCTACCTAAGAAGAGTGAGTAGTCGACAGACAGAAAATACCACGTAGACCGCCGCTCGCGTCGCTGGCATTCATTCCACTGTGAGACGCCGTCGCGATCGCAAGTCTCGAGCGGACCAAAGCATATTTGAGTACAGACAACAGGCGAACAGAGGCAAAGCTGTAAGAGGCAGCCGCCAGCAGAAAGTAAACGACTTTTAATTAAAGCTCAATTGCATTATCAACTGCCTATATAGTACATGTCTATGTAGGCGCAACGGAGTGTGCGAAACGGAACCGCAAAACTCAGAATCCCATGACGCCATATTTGTTTTTTCAACCTGATTGAACGTGTGAGAAGTGTCCGTGAGTGAGTGCCAAAGAGAATCATCTCGAGGCGGAAACGAAACGATTCTGTGTGAAACGAGATTCTAAATTCATTTAAATAAGTGAAACAAAACCCAGCGAAAATTCTAAAACAAAAAACAAACAACAACAAAAACCCCGTCAAGTTTTGTGAAGTGTGCGCGTGTTTTTCGCTGATATTATGGTCGGGAGAGTGTGTGTGTGTGATGTTGCAAGTGTATGCGTGCTTTGTTAGTGAATGCGACTGGCTGTGTAAGAAATATCCGCTTACCTAAGCGCACAAATTCTCTCGCGACGGCTTAAGAACCACACTTGAATACACCACAAAGCACAAGCGCACAGACACACACACACGCACACACTGGTAGACATACCTGTGTGTGTAGGTACGTGGCTAACATACATATAAAGCAAAACCAGAAAATCCACATTGCTCGGTCTCGGTGCGCGCCTACGTTGTCTACGCTACGTAAAGAACGCGCATAACGTAAGACGTTTTGTTTTGTTATTGCTGTTGTTGTTGTTGTTGTTCTTGTTTTTGTTGGCGTTGCTGCTTCTGTGACAATGGGCGACTCCACGCCCATTTGCCGCTGCCGCGTGCTCTACCTGGGTAGCGCTGTGCCCCGCCAGAGCAAGGATGGCTTGCAGGGCATACAGGAGCCGCTGCGCAGTCTCTATCCGTCGGAGGGCGCTGTGGGCGCCAAGGGCATCGATAGCTGGCTGAGTGTCTGGTCTAATGGCATCTTGCTGGAGAACGTGGACGAGAATCTGAAGCAAATCACACGCTTCTTTCCCATCGAGTCGCTGCACTATTGCGCCGCTGTGCGCCAAGTGCTGATACCGGAGCGCGGCAATGCTCATCCGGAGCCGAAGTTTCTGCCGCTGGACTCGCCATTTGCGCGCATGCCTCGCGCACAGCACCCGCCCATCTTTGCAGCCATATTGCGTCGCACCACTGGCATCAAGGTGCTGGAGTGCCACGTCTTCATTTGCAAGCGCGAGGCGGCAGCCAATGCTCTAGTCAGATGCTGTTTCCATGCCTATGCTGACAACTCGTATGCTCGCCAGCTGGAGACGGGCAGCACTGTTGGCGGCGGCAGCAGTGTCTATGGCACGCTCAAGAGCGGCGCCGGCAGCAAATCCAATGGCGACCTCACCAGCGTTGGCTTGGCCAACGGCCATGGCAACGGTCACCATCATCTGGCCGGGCAGGGCGGCTGGAGATCGCGTGCCGGCAGCACCACCACGCTCAACAGCCTGGGACGCACATCCAATGGACATGTGCTCAATGGCTCTGGCCTGGGCATGAATGGTGGCAGCACTGGCAGTGCCGCCGAGGGCTACACATCAGTCAAAAATTGTAAGTATTTTGTGGCTGGCATGCAGCACTCAAGTTTGTTGCCTAAGTCTTTCGTTCAGCCACGCCCCTCGTTGACTTGAGAATTTTTGTGCCCCATCTTTAGCAGCCATCAGACACAGCTACAGCTACTCGCTATAGGTACAGTTGCCTAAGTATAGCTGGCATGTCATCTAATTAGCTGCATGTGACCGGCACGAAACGTTAGAAATGTCTGAGATAGAACAAAAAAAACGCAAACTGCTTTGTCTCCCATCTTAGCAATGATCTCAGCAATCAGGTAGCTAATATGAGACAGCTTTGTATGCCCTTTCAGAGGGTCCCGTAATCTGCTGATGAAACTTGTTAGGCATTCAATGAGCTATGTCAATCTCAAAATATCTATGGATTATATATTATTAATAGCTAGACGGAGATAAATCATTTCCTACATGATTCAAAGAGACATTGCATGAAATTGCTGTGAGTTTTTACAATTTTGATTATAAGAGTTTGTTATATATAATCAACTCTAAAGTTGACAAGATGATAAATCAGATATTTGTATATTTATTCACTATTATATCTGTTGAATTCAGATTCCAAAAATTCCTGCTGATTTGTTTATATAATTACTTAGAGTGCAATATCAATAAATAGAACTTAATTATGTGTAAACAGCAACCAAATTGAAGGTAAATCGTCTATTATAAAAGTAGCCACAAGAGATGAGCCTCACCTTGAAACACACACACACACACAGAGAGAGGCTTGCTGCCTCACAGTATATGCAAAGATAAGAAGAAGAAAACATTTAAACACGCCTCAGACTTTGTTGAAAAATAGAAAATGTTGTCATAGCGTCGAAAGTATTTGGGTGCAGTACAGGTATTTTAATGTTTTTATTGTTTTTGTTGTTGCTTTCGTTTTCTTCTCTATCTTCTGTTATTGACAATTTTTTCGTATGCACGTTTCTCAGAGTGTCGGACTGTCGAACCGAGCGATGACTGATGGAGGGCCCGGCAAGTGGCAGACATGAACATTTAGTCGATGTTGCTGTCGGTCTCTGGTAACAGAGAAACACTTACGGGCAACCGCTAGAGCGTTGTCTTGCAGAGTTTTAAACACTTTCCACTTATTTAAATTTCGTCGAGGCACAGCAATCGCCGCTTTATGGCATTGCCTTCTGTTGTTGGCCTGGTCGACGACTGCCTTTGAAGTTGAAGTTGTCTCGGCTATAGCAAAGTTATGATAATTAGCATGTAAATTGCTAGAGCTGAGGAAAGCAGCAACAGCTACAGCTTCAGCAGCAGCAGCCACGTTAAATGTATTTCGAGCTGATCTCTACTAGAGCCATGCAAATTAGCCACATTTCGCTTTCGACCTGAAAACTCCTCCCTGGTCAAATCTGAGCTGTCCGCATGCTTAATAAGTAGAAATGCGACCAATAAACCGAATCGGAATCGAAGCACTTTCTAGCCCCAAATTGGCTGTAAATGCCGTGAGTGGATGCAGTAAAGGAAATAAACCGATCTTTTGCCATCTCATTCAAACTAAATATGCAAATTGAATGACTCGCTTAATGCGCTACGCTAATTAATAGAGTTTATGCCATGGCAGGCACATAATTTATAATTTTGCGGCATTCTCACAGCCTCCACTCGGTCACAGCAATAGTTGTTGTCATTTCCAATTGCAGTTGCTACACACACACACACACACTCACGTACATATACACACAAAGTGGCTGGGCAGGAACTGTGGTCGCGTGCAGATTAGCGGACGTCGACGCCGCCAACA